ACACACGATTTAGTCTTACTTCAGTTCCCCACATGAGAATTTAGAGAAGGTCCAAAGGGAAGAGAGGGAGCCATAGCAGAACTCATCTGACACAGCCTGTCTTTCCTTTGCTCATTCTTTTCTTTACCCCCTGTGCTATAGGAAGGCAAAGAAACTAATAAATCTTCTGCCGATGCCCATGGGTCACTTTACAGTAGATACAAGCCTTGGGGAAGACTCTGCAATCAAGGGTCCCTTCTGCCTTTGGGATTTAAGCGAACATCTTTGTGTTGGGACAATGAAGTTTTTTCTCAAATACTGAAAAGGAATGCCAAGAAAGCTGACAGACTTCCCCTTGCATGGAGGGCAGCCAGACACCATTTACCCTACCTCCAGAGAACTGGGCATTGCAACACACACACCAAACCTCCCTCCAGTGACCTAATAGAATGTGCTACTTCGCAGTAAACTCTAGAGTACAGCTAGGAAAGCAACTTCTTCAACAGCACAGCTCAAACACACCTCACCAGCTTCTTGCTGGCCAGCGCTCTGTAGCACGTTCCTACCTCTAAAATACCTGGGGGTATTTACTCCAACTGATACAAGTAAAATTTGATTCCAGTAAAGCTCTATTTTTATTGGAAAATAAAGGTATATATAGGAAGCAACAGAGTGAGGGTGACAAACACTTGAACCGTGAGTTAAGGCAGATCTGGCACGGGCACACTTCCATAAAGGGCAGGGGTTTACTTCACTCACCTAGCACACGCAGCCGACACTGTGAGCCTTCTTGTAGCCCGCTCCTCTCTCCCATGACTGCACACCTCAGCCCTCAGGGCAGAGATGCACCTTCTACCTCAGTTCTCTATCAACCGATGGGGTAATTCGGGTCTACCAGTCACTCCATCCTTGTGAGCAGAGCTGAAAATCTCTCGTCACTCCATTTCTCCTAGATTATACCCCCCTCTACAACTCCCTCCCCTAAAAAAGGGGAATGTCCTCCCAGCCTCTTCAGCAGCCCTGGCCTGGGATATCAAAAGGTGAGTACAAATAAACCGTCTGGACTCTCCCAACTCTCTTGTGAGCTCAGTCTTTCTCCTTCAGCCCTTCCTGCTCCGTCACTATCTCAACCTCCCCAGCCTCCACCCTCCCACAGTCAATTCCAGGCCGACCTGGGGACCACTGCCTCCTGCATTTTCTAGATGTTTTTTTCCAGCATGAGACACTTCACCAGGCTATCAATCCTTATGGGACCAGAATTTGTAAGCAGCTACCCCAGCATGGGACAAGGGTCTTGTTGCTATGATTACGGCCTCTACTCTATTTCAGGAAATCATGAAAGAGCAACGAGGCTGAAAAACTTGGCTTTTAAAGATAAACATTAACCAAAATGGCATCAGTCCTGAACAGAAGGAGGAGTGAGCTGGGAATGTTAATACTGAGATAGAAGGGAGAAACGAGGCAACTGATTAGGAGAGGGCTTCAGCAAGGAGTGAGTTGCTGCCCACTCCCTGGGACAATCCCTTCCCCAATATCTCTGCCATTGCCCAATTTCCCAGGCACGTCAAATGTAAAAGCTTAGCTCTTCCATCACATCACACTCTACACAAACAGCCTTTGTGTACCCTAGGAGGAGCCTCTGCCCAGCAGAAGCTGAAATCACCCACGGCAGTCATTTAAGTCATTCCCTGCACTGAGAGCTGCAGCAGACATGCACAGGACCTCAGTCTGTGTTGCAAAGAGATTTGAGAGACTTGAAGCTGAGGAAGCCACACATGTGTATTGTATTTCATGCTGCAGAAGGAGGATGCCTCGGAGCACAGCACGCACGTTAATCTTCCATGCGTATCAAAGAAATAATTTTGAGTAATCCAGCTAGTTTATAACATTTTCCATTTCATTGGCCTGTAGAAAAGCAAGTGTTAAATAATCAAAATATAATGTCTGAGAGCTTTTTAGAAAACCTCTGCATCACATTATTTAAATATATCATTAAGTGACTTTTAAAAGCCTGATTGGAAAAACTACATCATTTTGGATTTTCTCAACATCTGGCACGTCAGCGCTCAGTGTCTAAGAGCCCTATAAATAGACATCTGGACCACCTCAATACAATTCATGTATGCCATTTTTCCATAATCCACTTAACTCCATTATTCAAATAAAGTGCAACTGGATCTTTTCTTGGGAACAGGGATTATGCAATGCTCAGTACAGGAGGTTCAAGAAAAACAGTATTAAGCTAAACATAAACTGCAAACACTTGCAGAGTGGCAGTTTGTTTATATTTATTTATTTGCTGTATTTCCATTTCTTTCTCACCTAACATCCACTAGCTGCTTTTGCTTCTTATGATTTACCAAACTCCTTCTCTCTCATGTCTCAGTACACCAAGAGTGTGGCCAAGCAGTTAAACGTTGATTGCCAACTGATTAATAATGAAAATATAATTGCGGGATGATCAAAACTTCTTAATATAACTAGATCCCTATGCTGCTAGGAACTACTGTTTCAAATTAAAATTATAAACCCCTATAGTACTGATGAGATTTTGCCAAAATCCACTGAATTCTGGAGTTTGTTAGAAAACCAAAACATTTACAGTCTCAGGTCACAGATGGCTGAATACTATGAGCATAGCTTTCTACACACATAGAAGCTTTTCTCTCATACTTCTAAAAAGCAACTGCTATTAATATGCTCCCTTAACCTCCTTAAGAGCCTTCAAGTTACATGTGAATACAATATAAACATAAAAATATGCAATTCAGCAATAAACTCTGAATGAAAATTTTGAAAATGCACTGTATAACACTTCTTTCATAGACACACGTGTATATACACCTAAATGTATGGAAATTCTATTTGAGGATTAATTTCATTCTCCATGTCTTTCTGGTATATATATCTCAATTATTCACCTTGGGTAAACAGCTCTATAAAAGATCCAAGTATGCACTTTTGTACAATATATATTAGTATAGGAGAAAGGTCCAGGATTAAATGCATTTAGATGGATTCTTCACAAAAATGAAGTGAGGGCTTCGGGTCAGTTTCAACACTCAAAAGTGGTTTCTAAGGATTCCAAGTTCATCTCATGTTTAAGGTTAATTTAGAACCTCAGTAGCCTTCCCCACCTGCCCAGGAAACTCCCAGCTATGGAGACCCATAAACTGTAAGCGAGTCTCAAAAAGGGTTATTTTCAGCAGAATGCAGTGTAGGTTACAGAGTTATGTGTTATGGGGGTGAAGACATCACAGGGAGAAAAAAAATTTGGAGAATGTGAGGGAGGTAAAAAATATCAGATACTGTCAAATATCTACTGACAATTATAAGGGGATATAATGCCGAAATGTTGGCACCACGGGAGAGACATTTTAGGAACTGTCTCTCCTTTTCACTAACTCCAGCCCTCTGGAATTAGGCACCATGAAATGCACAGGTGGAGGGGAAGGGGGTTCCCACGAGGAAGGAGCCACTTCAAGAGGGAACAGAGATGACGAACCATGTTAAAGCTCAGTTCTAGTCAACTGGGGGACTCCCGGTGGTCAGGGAGGGTTGAGGCAGCTGATGGCTCTTCTCTGAGATGTCTGCTGCAGTGGGGAGATGCCACAGGGAAAGTAATTCCAGAAGAAAAAACATCTACTTAAAATAGAAAATAAGTAGCAGCGAAGGCCCTAACAGTAAACTGACCATTGGGGTTTTGTCTGCCTTTCCACTGAATCATGACTCAGAAAACAGAAAACACTCGGTACAGCCCAGTCCCCAGTACTTAGCTTTCACCACAGAGGACTGTGCCACCAACACCAACAATCACTGCGATTAAGTGCTTAACCGCTGCTGGCTTTTTAATGAGAAAGTTCCTAACAACAAGAACCTGCTTTAGTATCACCACTGCCATTCTTTTTCCATTCTGCTTTCACCAGACTGGCGAGACATTTCACTTTAGGTGTGATTCAGAATTCCAATTTCAGAAAAAATTGTCTCCATAGTTACACACCTCTTTCTTGCAACCAAGTGCCAGTTCTCCGTGGCTCTGCTTTCAAATTTTAAGTGCTGAAACACAGGAAAAATGCCTTGCCTCAATCATTGTGACAGATTTGTTTTCAGTTTTTAGCCAGCAGCTGAAACATACAACAACATTTTCCTCTCTGGAAGGAAAACTGAAAGAGCCCAAAGGAAATAATCTAAAAATCCAACTTGCGATGCAAAAGAAAACTTTGTGTAGAGATACATCCATATATCCGTTCTGTAATACCACAAGGGGGGATTCAGATGGAATTTGTGTCAAACCAAGAGACATTCCGAAGGGTATATATTTGAAAATAGGAGATATATGGCCCATATAAATATGCAAAAGTAGAATGTACTAACATAATCTCGTAGTGTAAAACATAACACTCATAAATTATTGCAAGTTTAACTCTTACATTTGCAAGGTACAGAAATTAAAAGCAAGATATTAATTAAAAATTAATTATGTTATATATATTATTTCATTTAAGACAAGTATGCCAATGTTACATAAGAAATCCCTACCCTTCACAGAAGACATTAAACAAGAAAAATCTACGGGCCACAACTCGCAGTACTTTATCCCAACAACGCATGTTCAGAACATAAGCACATCCAAGGAGTCAAACCTTTCTCTGACTAGCCTCAGCATGCACCCACCTCCCCACTGCTCCTCATTAGGTTGAAAAAAGAAGGAACTGCACATCTGGTCTGCTAAATAAGGTCAGAGAAGTCGGCTTGACTGGATATATCTATCCATAAAGACAGTATCAGTAGTTAGAAATGCGCAGCTGGGGCTAGAGGTAAGCCCATAAGCAATTTTTGTTTAACTCCCATTTCTAGAAATGGGAAACTGTATCTACCTTGTGACTGTCTCGCATTTTGACTTCCACTGTTATGAAGACATAATCACATCTAAACGTTTGCTTTATAGACTATGAATTAACGTAGGTTATACCTGGACTTCTTCCACTGACTCATGGACTTTCAAATACAGCCTGCAAGTCCTATAAAAACATGAATTCACTGGACATGTGCGAGTTCAATAGCTGATTCCTTTTGGGGCCTGTGATAATTTCAGCGTCTGTCTGAAGCACTAGCAGCACCAGGTCTAGAGCTCTCCGCCATGCCTCTTTCTTGGCTGTAACATTATCATAAACCTCTGAACCCTCCCCGCAGCCAGCGAAGGGACCAGGACCACCCCCAAGCAGGTCACCTCTTCTAAACTCTTTCAATATATATGCTGAGGGAGAGCCACAGTCAGCTGCTTTTTTAAGGTGACGATCGACTGAGGCACACGCTTCCACCTCCGATGCAGCTTTTGCAGAGTTACACATAACCACTGAAAGATACTGCTTCCAGCCGCTTGCTAAAGCTTGGAGCACCACTGATTTATCCTCTGCTGCAGAGGCTGCCAGCCAAGGGCTGTGAAACTCCTTCACAGCATTTTCATTTGCTGGCTGCGAAGGCTGTTCTGCAAGCATCTGAATGTGACTAAGGCACAAGAGCTCCACTGCGCCACCACCAAGGAAAACCTTCTCGTCACGTAGAGCGTGATGGAGTCGATACACTGAAGTCCAGAACTGGTCTTCAATGAGCTGCATCTTTGAAGGTACAGTGGTGGTGAGCACGGCCGTGAGCAGGGGAATTCCTTGCACTTCTATCCTGACCGGCACAAGCTCACCCAGATCCATCGCACGCCCGTCGCCGGCCTTCCACAGCTCCACCTGGGCCCCGCTCCCCACACACGAAGCATTCAGCTGGGTGAGGTACGTCACTGGCTGGGCGCTGGTGACCTCCCCAAAAGCACACAACACATCCCGAGTCACAGAACCAATTACCAACATACTGTTTGCTATGCACCTCTCCATTAAGTTTTCGCACACGTTTCCTTTGACCAAAACCAAGTTTACTCCAAAGCTTGTCAGAATATCTACCGTACTGCTCAGCCATGAGTCTCCTGCTCTGCCCTCCTGTAGGCTAGGATGCTCCAATATGGTCCTTACATTACACGGTCTATGAAAACCTAAGTGACGGTACTGTTCAGTTAGGTCACCATCCACTAGGAGAATCCGAAGGGGTTTGTCTTCCAAGTGTTTGATAACTGTGGCTTGTTCTGGTGATACTAATGTGACAAAGCCTGGGGAGACACAAGAATAGCTTTCAGGCAGGCCCAGTAAACAGCACGTCACAATTTCTGCAATATTAAACTGGGAAGCGCCCCTGCACGCTGCCCTCTCTTGCTGATAGACAACAATGCTTTGTAGCAGTTTCACACTTGTCTGATTTCCATGGCTCAGAGCCACTGCCAGGTGTCCTAAACCATAACATCCACATGGATCTGCTGATTGTCCTGAAACGTATCCCTGAAAATTACCTTGTTGGCTTGAAAAATGACCTTGTTGGCTTTTCCCTAGAGTGCTGAAGTATCTGCTATGGGTTAACTTCAGTTTGTTACAGTTGGATGCGATAACACCACTTCCAGAAATCCCAGATGTACTTTTGTCACCCGCTGGTTGGAGAGGAGAAGCTATTGAACCAAAGCCAGCCAAAGAACAAAGGCACTTGTTAAAATTACAATCATCGTCTTGACGGGAACAAGAATTTATTGAAATTACTTCTTCTGGTGCAGAAAGATCTTTCTGAAAATACGGGAAAATCAGAGGATTCAGAAGAAGGTCACGTCCTATTGGGCAAGTTTTGCTTTTAAAAGTATTCAAAAGCCTAACACTGCTAGAACACAGTGCTCTATTTACATCATGTATTGACATTTGAATACACTGGACTCTCTCACAGCAAGAGTTCAACGCCTCAGACATCACAGATACTATTGCTGAAACAGAAACGTTCTGCTGGAGGCACTCCAGTACAGCACTGCTCCATGCACCAATGAGAAACAACAGGGTACTCATCCCGGTCCTAAACTCCTTGTTTTGTGCCTGAATGGTTTCATTAAGAAGCTGTCCGGCAGCACTAGTTAAATCCAAGCGTTCAATCAGTCTAACAGCAGAAGAAATCAACGTGCTTTGGTTGGTGCTTTCATCCACAATGAGTTTACAGGACTTCATTGGCCCCAGTAACGTTCTTCCAGCTAACGCTAAGGATGACAGCTGCTGCAGTCCAATATGTCTTCTTGCATTCGCATCCCTGAAAGCCATGGGCAGCAGGCAGCATCTGTGAACAGAACACAAACTTATTGCCCCATCCTCACAGCACTCCAGAGCATACATCGCAAAAAAAATTACCGGCCTAACGCCGAACACAGCCCTCCTTGAGGCTGTATGAAACAATCCTGTGAACTTCTCAGGTACTGATGCACATAGTTGCTGCAATGGTGTATTGCTAAAATACCATGGAATCTCTTCTTGCTGCCAGATAGTACAGTGCTGTTAATTCCAGTGGTTTCTTAAATGTGAAGCGGTACAGATTCTATAGAACTACAATTTCTCAATCTGGAATTTATGTTATTTGCCTTACTTAGAGCAGAAGTTCCTTCTCAGAGCAGAATGGACAATTATGTGCAAAACCAAAGTGCTCTGCAGAGATCCATCTCTGAACCAATAGACTTTAATCCTCAAATCTGGGAAAACACAAACTTATTTTATTGCAATTCTATTTCTTCCCTTTAGCACGTGTCAGTGCTTCACTAAATGTGCATGAAAAGGAATGCCACCTCTTTACACCTCAAAAAGCAAACTACCAGGACTTTAAAGTTTTAACATGCCAAAAATAAGTCTTCTTTCCCTTGAAAACCCTTCCACACCACACTCCTGTGGTAGACCACATGGATTAAACTAAAGCTTCCTTTTTTTTTTTAGTTTTTTTAATGAAACAGTATACATGCCAAGACTTAAGAAGCCTTAGCCATATACCTTTTATGCTCAGATTCAATAATTTATTTCATCTCCCCAAAGGTCCCTGTGCATAGCTATGCCAAATCCAAACAACTCTTTTTCTGCCCCACTCAATCAACGTCCATCCGTATATTCGCTCAAATGAAGACAAAGCGTGAATTCAAAAAGTAGAGTAGGCAGTCAGAAATAACCTTCATATGCTGACAGACCTCAAGTTCTAGCCTAGCCCAAACCAACAACAGAATTTCCCTTCAATCACCAGATACATCTGGAAGTACCAAAATAGTCATTAACCACAAAATTATTTTAGTCTATGGCTACCTGTAATCAACAGTTTAAGAAAAGGACTTTTAGATAAGGCAAGTACTTTTGACTTAAACCTGCACTGGCAGTGCAAACCTGAAAACCACCATCCAACCTGCTTAAGGGTTTTTCTAGAAATTTCTCTTGGCAGTCTCTCGTGACAATGGTCTAGCTGTGTTATGTACCCATATCAGTTCTTCCAGCGGCAACAATAAAAAAGGCTCTTTTTTCCTTAACTGGAGTCTTTAGCTTAATATCACGTGCAGTTTGTTTTGAAACACGCAAACAAACAAAATTGAAATTATTAAATAATAACTGGATCATAGAATCCCATATGAACCTGTTTCCCTCACTCCTCCAAATTCTCATTCCATCTGATTTCTCTTAAGGATTCACTGAGACAGTAATTTGGGGGTTTTGGTGCAATTTTTTTGTGGGGTTTTTTGGTTGGTTGGTTTTGGTGGGTGGGGTTTTTGGTTGGTGGTTTGGGGTTTTTTTGATCACTGTTTCTGAGTTCAAGCACTTCTCAACTAGTAATGGCCACTTCTCAACCTGTTCTTGATTTGACAGAAAGAAGAAATGATCAGTTTGTAGTTCTCATACAAATTAGGGAAGAGCTACGTGAGCTATGCTGAAAGGCGGAGCAATGCTGTCGCACTAGCTACGTCCTTGGCACATAGTTCTGGGCAGGTGGCCATGCTGCTCTTTGGATGGGAGACAACTATGGAAGGAGTGGTGGGAAAGGGGTTTCCACTTTCCAGTACAATGAACTTCTTACTCCCCAGTCACTCCCAAACAAGGGTTCAGCTCAGCAATATGAGCCATTTTCATATTAGGATAGTGTTTTTATTTCAATGAATGTGAAATCAAGACTGCTGATGGAGCTGCCAGCTTCATCACCTGTCTCTGCAAGCAAAACACTTGACCTTAACGTTCAGTTTATGTTCACACACTGGGGTTTTCAGGGTCTTCAGTGAAAAACTCTGGGATACATGAAGTATGCCAAACATTTATTACTCGCTATCTTACTGCACCTCAACCGTGAAGGCTAAACTAGTAACAAAATTTTCTGTTAGTCCTCCAAATTAATGTATTGCTGTGAAATGTTAGCAAAAAAGTCTTGCACGCATGTGCACGCGTTCTCTTGTGCCAGCACTGGTGCACGGTGAACGAGCAACGGGTAGCAAGTGCTCAGCTTGCAATGAACCCACCACTGTCGCGACATACCTGGCCTACCCGAGAGCCAGCGCTACTACTAGTCACGTAGGCAGAGAAGGGGCTCCCCAGATATGCAGCCGATCCCAAGGCCTGTGGTGAAGCAGCCCCCCTGGAAGCGGCGGAGGGCCCCGCGGCGGGAGTCGAGGCCGCTCAGCCGGCGCCCCG